AGCCCCCCTGCTGACCCCCGTGCCCCCAGGTCAGCCCTGCTGCACGCCGGGTTCCGCGTCTCGCTGTCCCACGCCTGCCGCAACGCCGTCAAGACGGACGCGCCGCCCTCCGTGCTCTGGGACATCATGCGCTGCTGGGTGAGCCAGGAGGGGGCTCGGGGACCCCTCCCCACGCTCCGGGGGGGGCTGAACCCCTTTTCCCACCCCCCTTTTCCCATTTTTTCCCGCTTTTTCCCAGGCCAAGCTCCACCCGGTGAAGCTGGAGCGGCTCCCAGACTCCAGCCCGGCCGCCCGGATCCTCTCGGTGGAGCCCACGTAGGAACCCCCAAAGAGGGGTGGGGTGGGGGTTTGAGGGGACCCCAGACCCCGTTTGGGGGACCCCAGACCCCCCCAAACCCCCTCTTCTCTTTGCCAGGCTCCAGGCTTCCTTTGCCCTCCACGAGGACGCCAACCCCAGCTCGCGGAGGCGCGGCTTGAAGCGATTCCCCGAGAACCCCGAAGCTTTTTGGGGTCCCAAGGCCAGGGCCAAGCCGGGGTGAGGCTTTGGGGGGGGCCGCTTTGGGGGTTCAGGTGCCCCCCACCCTTCCCAAGGGGGACATTCCCCCCTTTTTTCACTCTGCTAGGGCAGAATCCCCCTAAAAAAGGGGAAGGGATGAACCCCGAGCTCTGTTGGTTTTGGGGGGTGCTCTTCACCCTCTCCCCTTTTTGGGGGGGGGTCCCTCGCCCTCTCTTCTATTTTGGGGGGGGGTCCCCAGCTCATTCCCGGCCTTTCCAGGGGGGGCATCGCCCCCTCCCTGCAGGAGAAGAGGGAGAGGCTGCAGAACAAGAGGAAGCAGCAGCAGGACAAGGCCGGGCTGAAACAATTCCCCTGCAAACGCTTCAAGGAGGTGGGGAGGGGGCCCCAAAACACGGGGGGAGGGTCCCCAGAATAACCGGGGGATCCCCAAAATAACCAGGGGGTCCCCAAAATAATCAGGGGATCCCTGAAATAGGCAGGGAGAGTGTGGGAATAGAGGGAGGGGTTCAGGAAATAAAGAGAGAAAGGAAATAAAGGGAAATAAAACAGGGAATAAAAGTGGGGGTGGGAATGAGGAGGGGGTGGCTGGGAATTTGAGGGGGGGTCTGGGAATTTGAGGGGGGGTCTGTGAACGCAGAGGGGGGGTCTTGGGGCAGGTCCCAGCCCCCCTTTTTTGTCCCCCCCACGCAGGGCGCCTGTCCCCAAGGCGAGCAGTGCTGCTACTCCCACGAGCCCCCCCCGGCTGCCCCCTCCCCATTAAAACACGTCTGACCCGACTCGGGGGGCTTGAATTTGATTTGTTTTTTTGGGTGGGGGGTCTCTCAGGACCCCCCAGGCCCCCGGTACTGCACAGAGGCCAGGAAGGTTCGGATCTCCATCGGCTCCAGCCGCACGCGCCGCGGGTCCAGCCTGGCCACAGGCCGGGGTTTGGGGGTGCCTGGGGGGGTCGTGAGGGAGGTGAGGGGGGGGCTGAGACCCCCAGGACCCCCCTCAAACCCCCCCGTACCTGTGGGGGTGTTCCAGAGCAGGCGGGACACGCTGTGCAGGGGGATGTCCCCCCCCAGAGCCATCTCCTGCACCGAGGTGATGGTGAAGGCCGAGAAAAGGGTCTGGGGGTGGGGGGGGGATGTTAGAGACCCCCCAGCGCCACCCCAAATACCCCAGAGCCCAGAACGGGGCTGTCAGAGACCCCCAGAGCCACCCCAAATACCCCAGAGCCCAGTCCGGGTGGGGGGCAGGCTGTCAGAGACCCCCAGAGCCACCCCAAATACCCCAGAGCCCAGAACGGGGCTGTCAGAGACCCCCAGAGCCACCCCAAATACCCCAGAGCCCAGTCCGGGTGGGGGGCAGGCTGTCAGAGACCCCCAGAGCCACCCCAAAGACCCCAGAGCCCAACCCAAGCTGGGGGGCTGTCAGAGACCCCCTGGAGCTGTCTCAGGACCCCCAGAGTGGTCACCTGGCACAGGTGACCCCACAGGCTCCGCCCCCCTGGCAGTGGTGGCCCCCCAGAGCCCACCCCAGGCGTGCCCCCTCCCCAGGTGTGTCCCTGTTCATCCCCAGGTGTGCCCCCTCCCCAGGTGTGTCCCTGTTCATCCCCAGGTGTGCCCCCTCCCCAGGGGTGCCCCCACAGATGCCAGGGGTGCCCCCAGCCCAGGTGTGCCCCTCCCCAGGTACCGTCAGGTCCACGGTGGCGGCGCGGGAGCCGTTGTGGCTCTCGCCCACCTGGAACAGGTGCTCCAGGCGCAGCAGGACGGCGCCGGCGCCGCGCGGCTCCAGCGTCAGCAGGTGCACGTTGGGGGGCAGCGCCCGGCGCAGCCCCGACACCTGCGGGCACGGCCAGGTGAGCGCGGGGCAGCCCTCACCTGGCACGGGACAGCCTGGCACGCACCTGGCACGGGACAGCCTGGCCCTCACCTGGCACAGGTGAGTGCGGGGCAGCCTGGCACGCACCTGGCACAGGTGAGCGCGGGACAGCTTGGCATGCACCTGGCACAGGACAGCCTGGCCCTCACCTGGCACAGGTGACCCTCCCCCAACTTCTCTACACTTACCTGTCACAGGTGACCCCCCCAGCCCCTCCCCTATCCCAGGTGACCCCACACCCCCTCCCCTATCCCAGGTGCCGCCGCGTCCAGCAGCACCAGGTGCCGGCCCCGCACCACCAGCCCCCGCCCGTCCGCGCCCCGCTCGTCCAGGGGCTCCCCCAGCCCCCGGCCGTCGTCCCTCAGCAGCCGCCGGTGCACCTGGAGGGGGGCACAGGTGAGGGCAGGGGTGTGCCCACCCTGGGGTGCCCCCGGCGGGGCGCCCAGCTCACCATCAGCTCCAGGGAGCCGTCCTGGAGGCTGCTGCCGCCCTGCGAGCGATCCGTCAGCACCGTCAGCTGCAGCTTCTCGTCCTGCACGGGGGCACGGGTGTGGGGCGGGGTACAGGTGTGCCCAGGTGTGCCCTGCCCAGCCCCAGCTGTGCCCGGGTGTGCCCTGGCCATACCCAGGTGTGCTCTGGCCATACCCAGGTGTGCCCTGCCCAGCCCCAGGTGTGCCCAACTGTGCTCTGGCCAGTTCCAGGTGTGGCCAGGTGTGCCCTGCCCAGCCCAGGTGTGCCCTGCCCGGCCCCAGCTGTGCCCAGGTGTGCCCTGGCCATACCCAGGTGTGCTCTGGCCAGCTCCAGGTGTGCCCAACTGTGCTCTGGCCAGTTCCAGGTGTACCCAGGTGTGCCCTGCCCAGCCCAGGTGTGCCCTGGCCATACCCAGGTGTGCTCTGGCCAGCCCCAGGTGTGCCCTGCCCAGCCCCAGCTGTGCCCAGCTGTGCTCTGGCCAGCTCCAGGTGTACCCAGGTGTGCTCTGGCCAGGCCCAGATATGCCCAGGTGTACTCTGCCCAGCCCCAGGTGTGCCAAGGTGTGTCCTGGTTGGCCCCAGGTGTACTCTGCACAGCCCCAGGTGTGCCCTGCCCAGCCCCAGCTGTGCCCAGCTGTGCTCTGGCCAGCCCCAGGTGTGCCCAGCTGTGCCCAGGTGTACTGAGTTATGCCCAGCTGTGCCCAGCTGTGCCCAGGTGTACTGAGCTGTGCCCAGGTGTGCCCAGGTGTGCCCAGGTACCTTGATGAAGATCCGGGTGTTCACGGGGTAGTAATTCCCTGCCACGGGCTCAGTCTGGCTCAGGTTCCAGGTGGGCCGGTAGTCACGCCTGGGGTGGCCCGGGGGGGGTCACAGGGGGTCCCAGCGAGCCCCTGGGGGGTCCCGGGGGTCCCCTGAGCCCCTGGGGGGTCCCCTGAGCCCCCTCACCTGCGCTCCAGCACCTGGCGCCCGTTGGAGTCGGTGTAGAAGCGGCCGGCCGTGCGCAGCGGCGTCTCGAAGCGGCTGATCACCTCCTTGCCCAGCCCGTCCCTTGTGGGGGGACACAGGGGTGTCACCGGGGGGTCCCCAGAGCAGCTCTGGGGGTCCGCAGCCCCCTCCCCACACTCACGCCACGGGGATGGGCCCCAGGGTCCACTCCAGCTCCAGGTACGGCTGCCCCGGGCGCAGCCGCAGCACCTGCGAGCACCACGCCGAGAAGTTCTGCTGCACCTCCTGCACCAGCGCCGTCTGCGGGGGGCACGCGGGCACTCAGCCACACCTGCAGACCCCTCCCCAAACCCGAGGGGCGCCCCCGGGACCCCCGCCCACCTTGAGCAGGTGCGTGGCCGCGCGCTTGGCCACGGGGATGGGCGCCGAGGCGTTGGGCCGGAAGATGTAAGCACCCGAGGCCTGGGGGCTCAGCCCGTCCCCGGTGCTGGCGTTGTACCTGGGGGGGCCAGGGGAGCTCAGGGGGATCCCCCCCAGCTGGGACCCCTCCCCAGAACCCTCGGGGTGCCCCCAGACTCACCAGTAGAAGCTCTGGAAGACGGGCAGCGAGATGCCCTTGGCCAGGTTCTGGATCTCCAGCAGGTGCCCCGTGACGGGGTCGAACCGGACCCGCAGGTGCTGGGGGTAGTGGGGGGGACACAGGCAGGTCACCCCCACCCCCCCAGGCCACCCAGTCACCCCCTAACTGGTTTAACTGGGAGCTGGCACTCAGCCCCCTGCCCAGCCACCCCCCAAATCCGTGTCCCTCCCCGATGTCCCCTCACCTCGATGTCCCCTCACCTCGTTCTCAATGTGCGGCTCCGGGTCCCCCGAGGGCCACCTGGGAGGGTCCCAGGGGGTCCCCGAGGGCCAGCTGGGGGTGTCCCAGGGGGTCCCTGGGCTCAGCTGCTTCACCTCAAAGGTGCTGAACCCCAGGGGGGGGGCCCAGGCCTGGAACAGGAGCTCCCCCGGGGCCGTCCCGGCGCCGCCCCGCAGCCGCCGGGTCACGCCGGACACCGGGACCACCTTGGGGGGGACAGGGACAGGTCAGGGGGTGACAGGGGTGACAAGGGGCTTTGGCGGGTACAGGTGGGCGGGGGGCTCACCTGGCTGGCCACGGGCTGGCCCTGAGGGTCGGTCACAGAGTACGAGGTGGCCCTGACCGGCAGCCGCACGGGCCAGGTCACGCCCCAGCCCAGGGGGTTGTAGAGGATCACGGTGAACTGGGGAGGGGTCACACGGTGGTGTCAGTCCCTGGGGACCCCCGGAACACCCCCACAAAGCCCCTCCCCAGGTGCTCACGTGAGGGGTGGTCTCGCTGAGGGGGCACACGCTGATGTTGAGGGCGTTGCAGAACACCAGGGGGTCCTTGGTGCCCCCCAGGATTGACAGGGCGTTGGCCACCAGCACCTGCCAGGGGCGGCCACAGTTTGGTGGGGAGGGGTCTCTGGGACGCCCCCAGCCCCACCCTTGTCCCCCAAACCCCACGTGGACCCCGGGCAGGTGTGGGGCTCACCTGGCAGCTGTCCCAGCCCTTGGCCAGCTGCCGGGCGTAGTCGTCGGCCACGTGCTGCCTCTCAGTGCCGGCCACGGCGTCGTGGTGCTGGGCCACAGCCACGGCCTCACCTTGCCCAGGGGAAAAGGGGGTCTCAGGGGGGTCTGGGGGGGTCCCCAGGTGCCCTCCAGGTGTCCCCCCGGGTACTCACGGAGCACCGAGCTGTCCCCAGGGCCGTAGGGACCGTCCCGCGCCGAGGGCCCGGCCAGGGCTTCCAGCTGGCTGCAGATCTGGGGGGCGGAATCGCTGTTTGAGGGGGGTCCCTGCTGCTCGAGAGGGGGTCCCTGAGGCCTGGAGGGGTCCCCCAGGTGCCCCCCACCTGCAGGAAGCCGCTGCTGAGCCGCTCGTAGCCCTTGAAGGCCGGGCGGCTGCTGAAGTAGCCGGTCCAGAACTGGTGGGGCCCGTCCGAGTAGGGGAAGAAATCGTCCGTCTTCAGGGGCCTGGGGGACACCCCAGCTGTCTGTCTGTCTGTCCGTCCGTCCTGCCTGCCCTCGGCCCCTCCCCGGCCCCGCCCTCACCAGGTGAGGTTGGCCCGGTGCAGCTCCCACAGGTAACAGGAGGGGGTGGAGTACAGGGCGTGGACGAGGCTGCCGTTGGCTTGCTGGGGACAGAGGGGGGGTCAGGGATGGCCCGGGGGGTTTGGGGACATCAGAGGGGGTCTGGGGACATCGTGGGGGGCTTGGGGACAGCCCCTCACCCGGGCATTGACGTGGGCAATGAGCTTGTCCAGGTTCTTGAACCACAGGTTGGCGTTCTCGTAGTGGAAGTCGGAGCCCATGGTCATCAGGATGTGGTTGGTGCGGTAGTGCCGGGCCTGGGGAGGGGGACACGGCTCGGGACCCCCGCCCGGGGCACGGGGACAGCCAGGGACACCCGGGGATCCCATCCCAGGGGGACAGTGACACTCGGGACCCCCACCCCAGGGGACAGGGACATGCTGGGATCTCATCCCAGGGGGACAGGAACACACAGGGATCCCATCCAGGGGATAGGGACACACAAAAAACCCATCCCAGGGGACAAGGACAGCCAGGGACTCTCAGGAATCCCACCCGAAGGGGGACAGGGACCCCCAGGAGCCCCACCCCAGGGGGACAGGGACACACAGGGATCCCACCCCAGGGGACAAGAACAGCCAGGGACCCCCAGGAACCCCACCCCAGGGGGACAGGGACACTCGGGACCCCCACCCTCGGTGACAGGGACCTTTGGGAACCCCCCCGGGGGTCCCTGTCCCCCCGGCAGGACCTGGGTGGCCGCTGCCCGCAGGAAGGAGGTGACCACGGCGTCCACGTTGCGCTCGGGGCCGTCCCCGTCCACCACGGGGGGGTCGGTGCAGAGCTGGTCCCAGCACAGCCCCGCGGGGGGGTCGTACACGTTGGGCAGGATCCCTGGGGACAGCGCTGTCACCTCCCCCGCCACCAGGGGCGGGGGCACAGGGGACACGGCTGGGGATGGGGGACACGGCTGGGACACAGCAGGGACAGGGCTGGGGGGACAGGGGACATGGCTGGGGACACGGCTGGGGATGGGGGACACGGCTGGGACACAGCAGGGACAGGGGTGGGGGGACAGGGGACACGGCTGGGGACATGGCTGGGGACAGGGGACACGGCTGGGACACAGCTGGGGTGGGGCAAAGGGGGAGAAACGGGAAGGGGACAGGACAGAGGGGTTGGGGTCACTGGTAGGGGTGGACAGGGGCACTTTGGGGGTGCCTGTCAGGGGTCCCGAGGGCAGTTTGGGGTCCCTGTCAGGGGGACAGGGGCAGTCTGGGGGTCCTTGTCAGGGGTCCCAGGGGCACTTTGGGGTCCCTGTCAGGGGGACAGGGGCAGTTTGGGGGTCAGTGTGAGGAGGGGACAGGGGCAGTCTGGGGGTCCCTGTCAGGGGGACAGGGGCAGTCTGGGGGTCACTGTGAGGAGGGGACAGGGGCACTTTGGGGTCCCTGTCAGGGGTCCCAGGGGCACTTTGGGGTCACTGTCAGGGGGACAGGGGCAGTTTGGGGTCCCTGTCAGGGGTCCCAGGGGCACTTTGGGGTCCCGGGGGGTCACCGGTGAAGATGTCGGCCCGGGGGGGGGCCAGGCTCTCGCTGCCCCTCCAGAGCAGCTCCAGCTCCCGGCGCTGCTGCCGCGCCCACTTGTCCTGGTAGTCCACGCGGCCCACGAAGAGCCCGTCGTAGCCCATCTGGGGGGCACGGGGGGCACCGGGGTCAGGGGGGTCCCCAAAGCCCCACAAAGAGCCCGTCGTAGCCCATCTGGGGGGCACGGGGGGCACCGGGGTCAGGGGGTCCCCAAAGCCCCAGGAACAGCCCATCTGGGGGACACCGGGGTCAGGGGGGTCGTTGGGAATGCAGAGGTGGAGTTTGGGGGTGCCGAGAAGGTTGGCAGTGCCAGGGAAGGTTTTGGGGTGCAGGGGAGGGTTTGGGGTGTAGGGGAAGATTTGGGAAATTTCGGGGATGCAGGAAAAGGTTTGGGGATGCAGGAGAAAGTCTGAGGATGCAGGAGGAGGTTTGGAAAGCTCTGGGGATGCCCAGGAAGCTCCAGGGATGCAGGAGAAGGTTTGGGGATGCCCTGGGGAGGTTTGGGGATGCTCAGGAAGCTCTGGGGACACAGGAGAAAGTTTGGGGATGCAGGAGAAGGTTTGGGAAGCTCCAGGGAGGTTTGGGAAGCCTCAGGGAGGTTTGCGAAGCTCTGGGGAGGTTTGGGGAGCTCCAGGGCAGTTTGGGAAGCCCTGGGGAGGTTTGGGGAACAGGAGAAGGTTTGGGAAGCTCCGGGGAGGTTTGGGGAGCTCCGGGGAGGTTTGGGGATGCTCAGGAAGCTCTGGGGACACAGAAGGTTTGGGGATGCAGGAGAAGGTTTGGGCTCTGGGGACACAGAAGGGGGAGCCCCGGGGAGCTTTGGGGAGCCCCGGGGAGGTTTGGGGAGCTCCGGGGAGGTTTGGGGATGCTCAGGAAGCTCTGGGGACACAGGAGAAGGTTTGGGGATGCAGCAGAAGGTTTGGGGAGCCCCGGGGAGGTTCGGGGAGCCCCGGGGAGCTTTGGGGAGCCCCGGGGTGCCCCACCTGGGCGAAGGTGGCGGCCAGCTCGCGGGAGTGCCCGAAGGGGTCGATCTGCCAGGCCACGCGCGGCGTGCCGCAGCCCCCGAAGAGGCGGCGCAGGAAGCGCCGGCCCAGGGCCAGCTGCACCAGGGCCCCCCCGTAGTGAGCCGCGGCCTCGTCGTTCATGCACCAGCCCCCCCCGACCAGCTCCAGCCGCCCTGGGGGGGACAGAGCCCCAAAATCACCCTGGGGGGGACCCTGAGCCCCCAAAATCCCCCCAGGGCCAGCCGCGGCCTCGTCGTTCATGCACCAGCCCCCCCCGACCAGCTCCAGCCGCCCTGGGGGGGACAGAGCCCCAAAATCACCTCAGGGGGGACACAGCACCCCAAAATCATATCAGGGGGGACCCTGAGCCCCCAAAATCACCTTAGGGAACACAGGACCCCAAAATCCCCCCAGGGCCACCCGCGGCCTCGTCGTTCATGCACCAGCCCCCCTGACCAGCTCCAGCCACCCTGGGGTGGACAGAGCCCCAAAATCACCTCAGGGGACACAGGACCCCAAAATCCCATCACATGGGGGACCCTGAGCCCCCAAAATTCACAAAATCCTGAGAAACGCCCCCAAACTCACCCCAAATCCCCCCAAAATCCTCTTAAAATCCCCTCAAAATTCACGAAATCCTGAAAAATCCCCCCAAAACCCCCCCCAAAATCCTGATCCCGCCCAGTGCCCCCAGTGCCCTTCCCAATCCCTCCCAATCCCTCCCAGTGCCCCCAGTGCCCTTACCAATCCCTCCCAGTGCCCTTCCCAGTCCCTCCAGTGCCCCCAATCCCCCTCCTAGTGCCCCCAATGTCCCTCCCAGTCCCTCCCAATCCCTCCCAGTGCCCCCAGTCCCCTCCCAATCCTTCCCAGTGCCCCCGGTGCCCTTCCCACACCCCAAAATCCCATCACATGGGGGACCCTGAGCCCCCAAAATCCCATCAGGGGACACCCACAGCCCCAGAATACCCCCGGGGGGACACGGCACCCCAAAATCCTAGTGTCTCCAATGTCCCTTTTGGTGTCCCCAATGTCCCTGCCAGTCCCCCCAGTGCCCCTCCCAGTGCCCCCCAGTTTTTCCCAGTAGTTTGGACTGGTGGTCTCCCAGTTTCTCCCAGTTCCCTCCCAGTCCATCCCAGTCCCCCCCAGTCCCTCCCAGTCCCTCCCAGTTCCTCCCAGTCCATCCCAGTTCAAACCAGTCCATCCCAGTTCCCTCCCAGTGCTCCCAGTGACCTCCCGCTTCCCACCCACTCCCTCCCAGTCCCTTCCTGTTCATCCCAGTCCATCCCAGTTTCCCCCGCAGTCCATCCCAGTTTCTCCCAGTCCCCCTCCAGTTTCTCAGTCCCTCCCAGTTTCCCACTCCATCCCAGTTCCTCCCAGTCTCCCTCAGTCCCCCCGCCAGTTTCCCAGTCCCTCCCAGTCCCCCCAGTCCCTCCCAGTTTCCCAGTCCATCCCAGTTTCCCCCAATCCCTCCCAGTCCCTCCCAGTTTCCCAGTCCATCCCAGTTTCTCCCAATCCCTCCCAGTCCCTCCCAGTGTCCTTCCCAGTCCCTCCCAGTGCCCCCAATGTCCCTCCCAATCCCTCCCAGTCCCTCCCAGAGCCCCCGGTGCCCTTCCCAGTCCCTCCCAGTGCCCCCGGTGCCCTTCCCAATCCCTCGCAGTCCCTCCCGGTGCCCCCGGTGCCCTTCCCAGTCCCTCCCGGTGCCCCCGGTGCCCCGTACCCTGCTGCACCAGCTCCCGGAGCAGCCTGCGCGTGGCCGGGCCCTGCTGCCGCCACCAGCGTGCCAGGAACGCCACCTCGGCGTAGACGAAGCGCCGCGAGGGCCGGGCGGCCAGCTGGGCCACCACCGAGTCCAGGATGTACTGCACGCCCGCGTGCTGCTCCCGGTTCCGCACTGCGGGCACGGCGCCGTCAGCCGGGCGCCCCGGGACCGGGCACCCCGAAACCGGGGCACCCCGGAACCAGGGCACAATGAAACCGGGGCACCCCGGGACCGGGCACCCCGAAACCCGGGCACCCCGAAAACGGGGCACACTGAAACCTGGGGCACCGTCAGCCTGGAACCAGGGCACCCCGAAACTGGGGCACCCCGGGACCGGGCACCCCAAAACCGGGCAACCCGAAACCGGGGCACCCCGGGACCGGGCACCCCGGGACCGGGCACCCCAAAACCGGGGCACACTGAAACCAGGGCACCCCGGGACCGGGCACCCCGAAACCAGAGCGCCCTGGAACCGGGCACCCCAAAAATGGGGCACCCCGGAACCAGGGCACAATGAAACCAGGGCACCCCGGGACCGGGCACCCCGGGACCGGGGCACACTGAAACCTGGGGCACCCCAAAACCGGGGCACCGTGAGCCTGGAACCAGGGCACCCCAAAACCGGAGCACCCCGGGACCGAGCACCCCGAAAATGAGGCACCCCAGAACCGGGCACCCCAAAAACGGGGCACCCCGGAACCAGGGCACAATGAAACCGGGGCACCCCGGGACCGGGCTCCCCAAAACTGGGGCACCCCGGGACCGGGCACCCCAAAAACGGGGCACACTGAAACCTGGGGCACCATCAGCCTGGAACCGGGGCACCCCGAAACCAGGGCACCCCGGGACCGGGCACCCCAAAAACGGGGCACACTGAAACCTGGGGCACCATCAGCCTGGAACCGGGGCACCCCGAAACCAGGGCACCCCGGGACCGGGCACCCCGGAACCAGGCACCTCAAAACCCAGGGCACCCTGGAACCGGGCACCCCAAAAATGGGGCACCCCGGAACGAGGGCACAATGAAACCGGGGCACCCCGGAACCAGGGCACCCCAAAAACGGGGCACCCCGGGACCGGGCACCCCAAAACTGGGGCACCCCAAACCCGGAGCCCCCCCAAACCCAGGGCACCGTGAGCCCAGCATCTGGGATGGGGGCACGGGGGGGCATCGGGAGACCCCAAAAAATCCCAGGGTGGGGGCACAGGGGGGCATCGTGAGCCCGGAACCCGGGTCACCCCAAAAACGGGGCACCCCAAATCCCCAGAGTGGGGGCACAGGGGCACCAGGTGACCCCAAAAACCCCAGGCTGGGGACACAGGGGCTGGGGACATGGGGGGCACTGGGTCACCCCAAAACCGGGCTGGGGACACGGGGGGGCACTGCGTGACCCCAAAACCCGGGGTGAGGACACAGTGGCACCCTGGGGACATCCACAGGTGACCCCGGGGGGTGCTGGCACACCCCAAAGTGACAAAGGGCAGCCACGGGCGTCACCCGGCGCCCCCCTGCCACGTCACCCCCGCCCCCCGCAGCTGCCCCTCGCTCAGGTGCCACCACCCCCACCCGCAGAGCGGCCTTGGGGACATCCCCTGCCCCCCCCGTCCCCCCCCCCCCCCCCCCCCCGGCCCTGCTCGTCCCCAGCTGCCCGGGGGGATGAGTCTTTGTCCCCAGGCTGGGCCCCGCAGCGCTGGCTCCCACTGCCCGAGCAGACAAAGAGGCGCTGGAAGGGCTGGGCAGGCAGGGAAGGGGCCGGGACAGGCACAGGGCCATGGCAGGGACACGGCTCAGAACCAGGGCACTGTGGCACGGCCAGGGATGGGGCATCCCCTGCCCCCGCTGTCCCCCCGCTGTCCCCCCCGTGTCCCCACGCACCCCCATAGTAGTACTGATCCACCGTCTTGAGCCAGCCCACGTCGTCGTGCGAGTGCGGCACCAGGTGCACGTTCAGCATGTCCGGCCGGGTCGGGGGGCACGACTGGGGGGGTTCGGGGGGGCTCGGACCGGCCTGGGCCCCCCGGGACCCGCCGGGACCCCCGCCCCCGGCGCGGCCGTTGAGCTCCGGACGCGGTTGCCAAACCAATGCCCGCAGTTCCCGTTTTCTCAGCGTCCCCGGTGTCCCCAGCGCTCCCAGTTCCCGTTTCCCCAGCGCTCCCTGTTCTCCCAGTTCCCGTTCCCTCACACCGCCCCGCTGCCCCCTCAGCCCTTCCCGGCGCCCCCAGCCTCCCGCAGCTCCCGTTATCCCGCCCCCGCCGCCCGTCCCAGTGTCCCCGGGCAATCCCAGCGCTCCCAGTCCGTCCGTCCGGGGCTCCCGGTCCCACCTGGTACCCGCAGCCCGCGGCCGCCCCGCTCAGCAGCAGCAGCAGCAGCGGCAGCGCCGCCGCCCCGGCCACCGCCATGACAGCGGCGCTCACGTGACCGCGCCCTCACATGACACGAGGGCTGACCCCGCCCCCCGAATGCGGCAGCCAATGGATGGCCAGGAAATGGAGCTGAGGCCACGCCCCGCATTCTGATTCGCTGTTGCTGCCCTAAGGGGTGGAGCGAAAGGAGGGCAGCACGGGACCGACAACAGACGGGAGCCAATGAGAAGGAGGACAGGGCGTGATTGGCAGCTCTCTGGGAGGGGCGTTTGCAACGGCGGGAAACGACCAGTGGCCAATGAGCACTGGCGGCTCCCGAGGCCCCGCCCACGACGAGTCCCCCTCAGAGCCCCCTCAGACCCTCAGAGCCCCCTCAGAGCTCCTCAGAGCCCCCTCAGACCTCCCGAATCCCCTCAAAGTCCCCTCAGAGCCCCCTCAGACCTCCCGAATCCCCTCAAAGTCCCCTCAGAGACCCCCCAGACCTCTTGAATCTCCTCAAAGTCCCCTCAGAGCCCCCTACCGACAACAGACGGGAGCCAATGAGAAGGAGGACAGGGCGTGATTGGCAGCTCTCTGGGAGGGGCGTTTGCAACGGCGGGAAACGACCAGTGGCCAATGAGCACTGGCGGCTCCCGAGGCCCCGCCCACGACGAGTCCCCCTCAGAGCCCCCTCAGACCCTCAGAGCCCCCTCAGACCTCCCGAATCCCCTCAAAGTCCCCTCAGAGACCCCCCAGACCTCTTGAATCTCCTCAAAGTCCCCTCAGAGCCCCCTCAGACCCTCAGAGCTCCTCAGAGCCCCCTCAGACCCTGCTCAGATCTCCTCGGAACCCCCTCAGACCTCCCGAATCCCCTTAGAGCCCCCTCAGACCTCCCGAATCCCCTCAAAGTCCCCTCAGAGCCCCCTCAGACTCTCTGCGTTCCTCAGAGCCCCTTCAGAGCCCCCTCAGACCTCCCGAATCCCCTCGAAGTCCCCTCAGACCCTCTGAGTTCCTCAGACCCCCCTCAGAGCCTGCTCAGATCTCCTCAGAGTCCCTGCAGACCCTCTCAGAGCCCCTTCAGACCTCCTGAATCCTCTCAGACCCTCAGAGCTCCTCAGACCTCCCAAATCCCCTCAAAGTCCCTTCAGAGCCTTCGAGTCCCCTCAGAACCTGCTCAGATCTCCTCGGAATCCCCTCAGACCTCCTGAATCCCTTCAAAGTCCCCTCAGACCCTGCTCAGATCTCTTCAGAGGCCCCTCAGACCTCCTGAATCCCCTCAAAGTCCCCTCAGAGTCCACTCAGAACCCCTCAGAACCTCAGAGTCCCCTCAGACCCTCAGAGCCCCCTCAGACCTCCCGAATTCCCTCAAAGTCCCCTCAGAGCCCACTCAGACCTCCCGAATCCCCTCAAAGTCCCCTCAGAGCCCACTCAGAACCCCTCAGAACCTCAGAGTCCCCTCAGACCCTCAGAGCCCCCTCAGACCCCCCTCAGATATCCTCGGAACCCCCTCAGACCCTCAGAGCCCCCTCAGACCTCCCGAATCCCCTCAAAGTCCCCTCAGAGCCCACTCAGAACCCCTCAGAACCTCAGAGTCCCCTCAGACCTTCAGAACCCCCTCAAAGCCCCTTCAGACCTCCCGAATCCCCTCAGAGCCCCTTCAGAGCTCCCTCAGACCCTCCGAGTCCCTTCAGAGCCTGCTCAGAGCCCCCTCAGAGTCCCTCAGACCACCCGAGTCCCCTAAGACCACCCGAATACCCTCAGAACCCCTTCGGCACCCGAGACTCCCCCCAGAGTCCCCTCAGACCACCTGAGCGCCCTCAGGCCACCCAAATTCCCTCAGTGCCCCTCAGACCCTCCAGTTCTCCACGGAGCCCCCCAGGACTCCCCCTCCCCGTTCCCCCCTCTCCCGGGGGGCTCCCCCGTGCCTTGGTTCAGGTACAAACACACTTCAGCCGTGCCAGGACCCCCTTTTATTGCCCCCACGAGGACCCCCCGTCCCCGTCACCACGGTGGGGACATGGGCTGGGGGTTCTGCAGGTAGGACATGACCACGGCCGAGATGGAGAGCCTGCGAGGGGCACACAGAGGTGTCAGAGACCCCCAGACACGGCCCGGGACCCCCGCCCCGGGGCCCCCCCGGCACTCACATGAAGCTGCTCATCATCTGCTTGGTGTCCTCGGAGCTGCGCGAGTTGGCGAAGCTGATGAAGGAGCAGTAAACGGCGATCCAGGCGCACCACTTGAGCTGGGGACCGCCGGGACAGCTCCGTGAGACCCCCGGGGGACCCCCGGGACAGCTCCGTGAGACCCCCGAGGGACCCCGGGGATGGGGCCTGAGACCCCCGGGGATGGCCCCGAGCCCCTCAGGGGCCCTCTCTGATCCTCCCTCCCCCGAATTCCCCTCAGAACAGCGCCCGGTGCCCATCCCGGAGCCCATCCCGGTACCGATCCCGGAGCCGATCCCGGAGCCGATCCCGGTGCCGACCCCGGTGCCCCCGTGCCCCACCTTGAGCATGAGCCCGCACATGCTGAACACCATCCCCAGCAGGTTCATGTAGTCGGGGGTCGGGTCTTCCAGCGCCGGGTTGGTCTCGGTGGCCGGGGGCTTGTACCTGGCGGAAAGCCGGGCTCCGTCAGGCGGGCCGCGGCACCGGGAGCCCCGCGGGTCGCTCCCCGGTTCTGCCGGTGCCTCCTCTCCCGCTGCCCGCCGTCCCACCTGGCCACCTTGCCGGGTCTCCGCGGGTCCGCCATGGCCCCGCCGCCACCGCCGCCCCTTCCGCCGCCGCCGGAAGGAGCCCGGCGCCGGTTCCGCCCCGGTTCCGCCCCCGGTGCCGGCCCCGGTGCCGGCATGGCGTTCCCGAGGCCGCGGCCCGCCCGGCCCGAGCTGCCCCGGCAGCGGGTGCAGAGCCTGCAGTGCGGGCAGGGAGCGGTGCGGGCCGCCCGCTTCAACGGTGAGGCCGGGGATACCGGGGGGAACGGGGCGGGGAAGGGAGCAGGAGCCGGGGATGGAGGCTGGGAACCGGGCGGGGGGTGCCGGTGTGGGGGTCCCGGGGATCCCCCGTGGCCGGTTTGAGGATCCTGGGGATCCCCCGGTATCCCGGGCAGGGGGTCCCGGGGATCCCCCGTGGCTGGTTTGAGGATCCTGGGGATCCCCCGGCAGGGGGTCCCGGTGATCACCCTGTATCAGGGGCAGGGGTCCCGGGGATCCCCCGGTATCCCGGGCAGGGGGTCCCGGTGATCCCCATTGTCACGGGCAGGGCGTCTCAGGGATCCCCCGGTATCCCGGGCAGGGGGTCCCGGGGATCCCTCGGTATCCCAGGCAGGGGGTCCTGGGATCTCCCCCAATCCGGGGCAGGGGATGCCGGGGATCCCCCGGTGTCAGGGGCAGGGGGTCCTGGTGATCCCCCCGTGTCTGGTGTGAGGATCTCGGGGATCCCCCCCGGATCCGGGGCAGGGGGTCCCGGTGATCACCCTGTATCAGGGGCAGGGGGTCCCGGGGATCCCCCGGTGTCACGGGCAGGGGGTCTCGGTGATCACCCTGTATCAGGGGCAGGGGGTCCCAAGGATACCCCCGTGTCACGGGCAGGGGTCTCGGTGATCACCCTGCATCAGGGGCAGGGGGTCCCGGGGATCCCCCGGTGTCACGGGCAGGGGTCCCGGTGATCACCCTGCATCAGGGGCAGGGGGTCCCGGGGATCCCCCTGTGTCACGGGCAGGGGGTCTCGGGGATCACCCTGTATCAGGGGCAGGGGGTCCCGGGGATCCCCCGGTGTCACGGGCAGGGGTCCCGGTGGTCACCCTGTATCAGGGGCAGGGGGTCCCGGGGATCCCCCGGTGTCACGGGCAGGGGTCCCGGTGGTCACGGCCGCTCACCCCCGCAGCGGACGGCAATTACTGCCTGACGTGCGGCAGCGACAAGACGCTGAAGCTCTGGAACCCGCACAAGGGCACGGCCCTGCGCACCTACCAGGGCCACGGCTACGAGGTGCTGGACGCCGCGGGGTAAGGAGGGGCTCCGGGGACCCCTCCCCGCCGCGGGGAGCCCTCCCCGCCGCGCTCACGGGAGCCCCCCGCAGATCCTCCGACAACAGCCAGATCTGCTCCGGCGGCGCCGACAAGGCCGTGGCGCTCTGGGACGTCAGCACGGGGCAGGTGGTCCGCAAGTACCGGGGACACGCCGGGGTGAGGAGGGGCCGGCGGGGGGATTGGGGGTCTGGGGGTGGCATTTGGGGAGGGGGGTTTGGGATGCCGCGTGCAGCAGCAGGTGCTGAGTGCCTGCTTCTCCCGCAGAAGGTGAACTGCGTCCAGTTCAACGAGGAAGCCACTGTCATTGTGTCCGGTGAGGGAGCGGTTTGGGGGGCACCCTGCAAGCTCCGGGACACCCCTGCACCCTTTTCCCACCATGATCCTCCTTTTTTCCCTCCTGATCCCCCTTTTTTCCCCCCCTGAACCCCCTTTTCCCACCCTGATCCCCCTTTTTTCCCCCCTGAACCCCCTTTTCCCACCCTGAGCACCCCCTTTTCCCCCCTTTCCCCCCTTTCCCCAGGCTCCATCGACTCCACGGTGCGCTGCTGGGACTGCCGCTCCCGCCGCCCCGACCCCATCCAGGTGCTGGACGAGGCCAAGGACGGCATCTCCAGCGTGAAGCTCTCAGCCCACGAGATCCTGACGGGGTGAGGAACGGGCCCCCCGGCACCGGGGCACCCCCAGGTTGGGGGGGACCCCCTGAACCTCCCCTTCCCTCCGCGCAGCTCCGTGGACGGGCGGGTCCGGCGCTACGACCTCCGCACGGGGCAGCTCAGCTCCGACTACATCGGCAGTGAGTGGGGCCTGGGGGAGGGCCCGGGGGGGGCTCCCAAAGCTTGGGGGGGCCCCGCGGGACCCCCCAAACCCCTCGTGTGCCCCGCCAGGCCCCATCACCAGCGTGTGCTTCAGCAAGGACGGGCAGTGCGTGCTGGCCGCCAGCCTGGACTCCACGCTGCGGCTGCTGGACAAGGACACCGGCGAGCTACTGGGCGAGTACGGGCCCCCTCCCCGAGTCCCTGCGCCCCCCGGGGGTTTTGGGGGACCCCCAGCTCAGCCCCGTCCCCCCCCCCAGGTACACGGGGCACCGCAGCACCACGTACAGGCTGGACTGCGTGCTGAACGAGCTGGACACGCACGTGGGCTGCGCCTCCGAGGACGGCCACGTCTACTTCTGGGACCTGGTGGAGGTGAGGGAGGGTCCCGAGGGGGGCTTTGGGGACACCCCGGACCCTCCCCTGACCCCCGCCGTGTCCCCCCAGGGTTCGCTGGCGCTCAGCCTGCCCGTGGGCCAGGGCGTGGTGCAGTCGCTGGCCTTCCACCCCAGCCTGCCCTGCCTGCTGGTGGCCACCCAGGGCCAGGTGACGCTGTGGCGCGAGGACACCTTCCAGCCCGAGGGGGACCCCGACACCTGACGGGGCCCGGGGGGACCCCAACGCCTGGCAGGGGCCGGGGGGACCCCGGAGACACGAGGAATAAACCCCCAGTGGAGACCCTGCCGTGCTTTATTGGGAGCTCGAATAAATAAACACAGCACAGAGGGGAGGGGGACACACGGACAGGGGGTGCAGGAGTGGGGGGCCCCTGTCCCCCCCAGGGGGACTCGCCCCACTATCCCCCACCTTTGAGACGCAGCACACCCAACGCTGAGCCCGGGATGGGGTCCTTTGGGGGTCCCCAGGTTTTGGGGGTCCCTCAAGGGAGGGTCCCCAGGTTTCAGGGGTCCCCAGGCCTCGAGGGTTCCTCCAGCCTTGGGGGTCCCTCATTCCTCGGGGGTCCCTCCAGCCTTGGGGGTCCCTCATTCCTCAGGGGTCCCTCATTCCTCAGGGGTCTCTCAGGCTTTGGGGGTCCCTCGTGCCTCGGGGATCCCCCAGGCCCTGGGGGTCCCTCAGGCCTCGGGGGTCCCCCAAGCCTAGGAGGTCCCTCATGCCTCAGGGGTCCCTCGTGCCTCGGGGGTCCCCCAGGGGTCCCTCAGGCCTCGGGGGTCCCCGCGGGCACCGCGAAGGCGTCGGCGCTCCGGGCGAACGTCTCAGCCACGAGCAGCGGGAACACGAGCGAGGCATCAGCATAAACCTGGCCCAGAGCAGAGGGGTCAGGGGGAAAACCCCCACTCTGGGGGCTCCCCAATCCCCCCTGAGCCCCCCCAGAGCCCCCCACCTTGACGGGGGTGGCGTCCACGCGGATCTTGCCCCAGGACACGGCCTCGTCCGGCCGCGCACCCGAGTCGGAGCCGTCGAACTCCTGCGCCGTGTTGACGTAGACGGAGAAATCGGCGCCGTTCCTCTGTGGGGGCACACACCGGGGTGAGCCCCCAGCCCCTCCCCGCCCCGGGGGGTCCCCACGCCCCCTGCCCAGCGCGGGGGTCCCTCACCATGAGGTTGGCGTTGGCGATGTGGTGCTTGACCAGGCCCCCGCCCAGGATGATCATGCCGGTCTTGTGGGCGAAGATGGCCTGGGTGTTGATGAGGCGCAGGTCTGCGGGCACGGGCAGGGGGTCAGGGCGCCCTCGGGGCACCCCAAATCCCGGGGGGCACCCCGGGGGGGACGGACGCTCACCCTCCACGATGTCCAGCACGAGCCCCGGGCGTTTGTAGGAGTGGAAGAAGATCATGTCCCCCAGGGAGCCGTCGGTGAGCGCGGGGCTCAGCACCGGGATGTTGTTCTGCAGGGTGGGGGCACGCGGTGACGGGCGGTGGCACCCCCGGTGCCACCCCCCTCCCAGTGCCCCCAGTACCTTCTGGGCCCAGTAGCAGATGGAGTCGGGGTTGTTGATCTCCTTGCCCAGCCGGGCGATCACCCGCGACGGCGTCCAGCGCACGCCCTGGGGGGACCCGTCAGGAACCAGGGGGTTCCAGGGGGAAAAGGTGTGCAGGGACCCCCCAAACCCCACCCCAGGTGTGCATGGATCCCCCAAACCCCACCCCAGGTGTGCAGGGACCCCCCAAACCCCACCCCAGGTGTGCAGGGACCCCTCCAAACCCCACCCCAGGTGTGCATGGATCCCCCAAACCCCACCCCAGGTGTGCAGGGACCCCCACAAACCCCACCCCAGGTGTGCAGCGACCCCCAAACCCCATCCCAGGTGTGCATGGATCCCCCCAAACCTCATCCCAGGTGTGCAAGGAACCCCGCAAACCCCACTCCAGGTGTGCAGGGAGCCCCCAAACCTCATCCCAGGTGTTGAGGGGCCCCTCAAACCCCACCCCAGGTGCCCAGAGACCACAAAACCCCCACCCCAAGTGTCCAGGGACCCCTCCAAACCTCACCCCAGGTGTGCAGGGACTCCCCCCAAACCCCACCCCAGGTGTGCAGGGACCCCCAAATCCCCAGCCTAGGTCACCCCCGATGTGCAGGGACCCCCTCCCAGCACAGTGGGGTCCCAGGTTGGGGTCCCCCCCCACCTCACCTGCATGTCCTGCTCGTCCACCATCGTGTCCAGGATGGGCATCAGCCAGTCCTCGAACTTGCAGTAGTTATCGTTGGGCACCAGCAGGTTCCCGATCCTGAGGGACCCCGCAGTGACCCCGAGGTGTCCCTGGGGTGTCCCCGGGGTGTCCCCGAGGCGTCCCCAGCCCCCCGGGCCCCCCAGACCTGTTGATGCCGTTCTGGCGCAGCTCCCGGCCCCGCAGCTGGAAGTCCCCGATGAAGGTGGGCGCCAGGCACTTGATGAGATCCTCCTCGACCCCCCCGGCCGTGGTCACCAGCACGTCCACCTGCCGGGGGGGTCACCTCAGGGACCCCCGGAGTGACCCCTGAGCCCCCTGACCCCCTGCCCGGGGGGGTCACCTCAGGGGCACCGGGAGTGACCCCTGACCCCCCCGAACCCCTGCCCGGGGGGGTCACCTCAGGGGCACCGGGAGTGACCCCCTGACCCCCCTGAACCTCACAGGGACCTGGCGACACCCCAAGGACTTGGCTATGGGCCACAGTGACTGCCATTGTCACTGTCCCCACCCATTCTGTGCCATTTTCAAGTGCCCCCAGGCTGTCCCTGTCCCCGTGTCCTTGTCCCCATGTCCCTGTCCCCAGGCTGTCCCCAGGCTGTCCCCTGTCCCCAGGCTGTCCCCAGGCTGTCACCATTCCCCGCTGCACGAGGTAGCGGATGCTCTCCCTGTCCCCGTGTCCCTGTCCCCTGTCCCCAGGCTGTCCCCAGGCTGTCCCCGTGTCCCCTGTCACCATTCCCCGCTGCACGAGGTAGCGGATGCTCTCCCTGACGCCGGAGCTGACGAGGTTGGAGGTGAAGCCCAGGAAGATGGTGCAGCCCGAGGGCGGCCGCGGCCCGGCCATGGCCGCTCGCTCCCGCTGCTCCGCGCTCAGCGGCTCCAGCTTGGCGGCGATCTGCGGGAGGGGACACCGGGGAGGGTCACAGCGGGCCCGGAGCCCTCACCCTCCCGCTGTCACCGCCACCCACCATCCGCTCGATCTCCGCCACGGCCTGCGCGAAGCTCGTGGCCTGGAAGCCGGTGGTGCGGAAGGAGCGCAGCAGCGCCGCGTGGTCCGCGCCGCCCGAGAAGTCGTAGCCGCGCACCGGGAGGGCCTCGGCCGGGAGCGCCGCGCTGGGCCGGAGCACGGCCCGGAGCGCCTCTCCCGGGGCCTCTCCCGGCGCCGCCATGGCTCGGCTCAGGGCGCCGCCATCTTGGGCCGCGCCCCCCGCGCCGCACGCCTGCGCGCTCGCCGCTCCGCACGGCTGCGCGCCGCCATCTTGCTCGGCACTCCCGCCCGGCTTTTCCGTACAGCCGCGCGCCGCCATCTTGGCGGGACGGTGGCCGTGGAGGGACGAGAAAGTCGAGGACGCGAAAGGGCGCCGAAAAGGAGTCCCGAAACGGCCGCGGCGCCCCAAATTCGCCCCAAACCCCCCCAAATTCACCCCAAACCCCCCAAATTCGCCCCAAACCGCGGGGAAACACAAGCTCCGCTCCAGTCCAATCCTTTAATAGCCATCAACAGGCGGCAGCTTCCAGCCCCCCCCCACGTCCCGGGTCCGGGCCCGGCCCCCCCTGAGTGGGGGGCGCTGGGGGGACCCCGCGGGGCGCGGCCGGAGCCCCCCGAGCCCGCCGGCGTCAGGTCCGGAGCCTCCACACCTCGACCGAGAGTCCCCCCGAGGCCGCGGCCACCACGTCCCCGTCCACGCTGATCTGGGGGAGGCAGAGGAGGGCATGGGGGGCTGGGGGGGCACCCCGGGGTGGGGGCTGCGCGTGCACACGCGTGTGCAAGGGCTGGGGGCGGCTCCTCACCCCGTTGAGGACATCGTCGTGCGTCCAGGAGCAGATGGTGCGGGGCGGGTCCGTGGGCACGTGGATCTGCAGGACGGGCGGAGCCGGGGGTCAGCAGGAACTCCCCGAGACCCCTCCCCAGGGCCCCCCCAGCCCAGCCCGAGCCGCGGGGACCCCCACCCGCAGCGTCCTGTCGGTGGACGTGGTGTAGAGCGAGCCCAGCGAGTGCCAGAGCCCCGTGATCTGCAGCCGGTGCCCCACGTCGAAATACTGCAGGGAAGGGGGGCACAGAAACCCCTGGTGAGCCACGGGGGGGGGGTCCTGCCCGCTGAGACCCCCCGGGACCCCCCAAACCCCTACCCGGGCGGGCTGGAAGCCGCCGCCGCCGCTGCCGAACAGGTACACGCGGCCCTGGTTGTCCCCGGCCCAGAGCTGCGAGCCCCGGTAGGACATGGAGAGCAGGTAATTGTCCAGCTGAGGAGGAGGAGGAGGAGGAAGACGCAGCCCGGATGCCACCTCGGGGGGCACAGCGACCCTCGGGGGGTGCGGGATGTGTGAGCCAGCCCCACCTGCAGCCGCTGCAGCACGGAGCCGGCGCGGCGGTCGAACACCACCAGGGTGCGGTCCTCGCTGCCCGACACGATCAGCCGCTCGTCGGCCGCCAGCGACAGCACCGCGCTGGCGTGGGGCTTGTAGCTGCTCACCTGCGCCTGCCCGGCTGGGGAGGGGGCGCAGGGGGTCAGGGGGATCCCCCAGACCCCCCCAAGCCCGCCCAGACCCCTCCTCGTCCCGGTACCTCGCGGGTCGTACACGGTCACGGTCTTGTCGTAGGTGCCGGTGACGAGCACGTCGGGGCGGTACGAGAGGCACAGCACGGCCGCCTTCTCCCTGCGGGAGGGGAGGGGGCTCAGCGGGACCCCCCGGGACCCCCACCCAGCCCGGATCCCCCCCCGGGGCCGTACCGGATCTCCCCGAACTGCTGCCCCTCGGCCGCCAGGTCCCAGAGCTTCACGGTGCTGTCCCAGGAGCCGGAGCAGACGCGCGAGTCCCGCGAGGCCAAGCACCAAACCCAGCCCTGGGGGGGACCCGGGGGGCTGCCAGAGCCTGGGACCCCCGCCCAGGGGGGGTTTTTATGGGGCGGGGGTCGTGTGGATGCCCACCTTGTGCGTGCCGCCGCGCCCCGAGCCCAGAGCCTTGACCAGAACCTTGCCGGGGGGGCCCCGGCCCAGCTCCCGCAGGTCCCACAGGTTCACGTTGCGGTCGCGGCCCCCCGAGACGCACAGCGAGCCCCCCTGGGGGGGAGGAGGGGGCACCAACTGAGCGGGGGAGACCCCCGGAGACCCCCCCCCCCAAATCCCCGGGGGTCCCACCTGCAGCAGCAGCACCGAGTCCACGGAGGCGAAGTGCCCCTCGTCCAGGGAGAAGTGCTCCATGGGGGCCCCCCCGGCCCCCCAGCGCTCCAGGTGCTCCTCCAGGTCCTCGCAGGCGGCCGCCCAATCGAAGCCCTCCTCTGGGGGGGCCCAAATTATGGGGGGGGGTCTCAGGGACACCCCCAGAGGGGTGAGTGCAACCTAAGGTGAAGGGGGTGCCCGAAGCTCTGGGGGGCTTTGGGGGGGTCGAGGGGACCCCCAAACCACGGGGGGAACCCTCAAAATACGGGGGGGACCCCCAAAATCGTGTCAAGGGACCCCCAAAAACCACGGGGGGGGGACCCCCAAAATCGTGGAAAGGGACCCCAAAACCACGAGGGGGGACCCAAAACCACAGAGGGACCCTCAAAATACGGGGGAAACCCCAAAAACCACGGGGAGGGGACCCAAAACCATTGGGGGGGACCCTCAAAATCATGGGAAGTGACCCCTAAAAGCACAGGGGGTCCTCCAAAACCACAGAGAGGGACCCCCAAAATATTGGGGGGGTCTCAGTACCATGGAAGGACCCCCAAAACAGGGGGGGGATTCCCAAAACCATGGAGGGACCCCCCAAACCACGGGGGGGACCCCAAACCAAACCACGGGGGGAACCCTCAAAATACAGGGGGGACCCCCAAAATCGTGGAAAGGGACCCCAAAACCACGAGGGGGGACCCAAAACCACAGAGGGACCCTCAAAATACGGGGGAAACCCCAAAAACCACGGGGAGGGGACCCAAAACCATTGGGGGGGACCCTCAAAATCATGGGAAGTGACCCCTAAAAGCACAGGGGGTCCTCCAAAACCACAGAGAGGGACCCCCAAAATATTGGGGGGGTCTCAGTACCATGGAAGGACCCCCAAAACAGGGGGGGGGGTTTCCCAAAACCATGGAGGGACCCCCCAAACCACGGGGGGGGGTACCTCAAAAGCGTGGGGGGAACCCAAAAACCACGGGGGGGACCCTCAAAATATAGGGGGGGACCCCCAAAATCGTGGCAAGGAACCCCCAAAACCACGGGGAGGGATTTCCAAAACATTGGGGGGGGGCCTCAGTACCATGGAAGGACCCCCAAAATCACGGGGGGGACCCCAAAAACCAGGGAGGGGACCCCAAATCACGGGTGGGGGACTCAAAACCATTGGGGGGGACCCCAAAAACCAGGGAGGGGACCCCAAATCACGGGGGGGGACCCCCAAAAGCACGGGGGGCCCCAAAGGGCTGCCAGCACCGAGCGGGCTGGGGTCGGGGCTGGCTCCCGGGGGGGTCCCGGTGCTGGCAAGGTTTTGCCTA